GACCTGCTATAACCTTGCATATGTGAAAGGAAATGCAATTAAAATCCAGGAAATCTTTGCAACGACCTGGTAGATATTCAACATCCATTTTCCTGTTGAAGAGGCTGTTTTCCCAGTTCCAAAGCTGAACACAAAAGTTTTACCTAAAGACGATAAAAGCAGATATTCAGCAAAAATCATTTTCAGGAAAAAAATAGAAAATGCTGACACACTAGCCCGAGGGCTGGTGCCTAGTGCAGTGCTGCAGTGACTGGGCGCCGTGTCTGGGTCCTTTCCAGTGAGGATGCCTCTGAAGAGCATGTGATGTGATGACAGACACTAGCTGAGTGGGTGCAGCATCTACAGCAGTGGCAGCATTTCTTGTCAAACTTCTCCACAGTCCAGTGGCTCATGGATGTACCCGAGTGAGTCCGAATAAATTCCAGCACCCGGAACATGGATGGTCCAGATAACGAAACCCCCATGATGGGGGAGCACAAGGCCCATTGACTTGGAAAGGAAAATGCTCCTAAATCACTTGGGTTTTTCACAATGTGAATGTAAATCTCTCCTCAGCCTTCCATGCTTGGTCTGTTATTGTAGCATACTGTCTGGTGCTGGGACACTTGTCTGTTACATAAATCTGGAGTTTCATCCTGGAGGAGTTTACTAGCACTTGAAAACATCAGTTAATAGCACTTGGAAGCTCTGACGCTGGGAGAAATACGACAATGCGGGATGTGATTTTCAGACGCGTCTCATTTTAAAAAGTGACCTCGGGCCAGATTTTCTAATGTCCGTAGGTGCCTGTTGATGCAGATGGGCTCTAAGAATGTAAAATCCCATTTACCTGGTTAACTGGTTAAACGTGTTTAACAGAGTAACAATCTGGTGGAGTTGCATCTGGGAGGATGTTATTAGCACTTGAAATCATCAGTTAATAGCACTTGGAATCTCTGACATGTGGGAGAAATACGACAATGCGGGGTAGGATTTTCAAAAGCGTCTCATTTTACAAGTGACCTTGAGCCAGATTTTCAAATGTCTGTAGGTGCCTGTTAGTGCAGATGGGCGCTAAGGATGTAAAATCTCATTCAATGGGTTACTTGGTTAAACATATTTAACAGTCCCCGTCTCCCCTGCCCCAGTTAGGGGCTTCTCCAGCATCCTGGTTGGAGCAACCCCTGCTTGCTAGATCATGGGCCCTCACTGGTTAACCTTAACCAGTTAACCGGTTAAACATTCACATCCCTAACAGGTGCCTACTGGGATTCTCAACATCGCTAAGGAGGTAGGGGTAATGTTCACGCCAATTTTTTCCATCTATGTGTGGAATAAATTTTGTTATGTGCACCAAAGCATAAGTGAAAGTGCACCACTAGGAGACACAAACACATGCTGCTGGCTATGGGTGGCAGTGGTTACTCTGCTATCAGCTGGGTGGCATTTGAATCTCTCCTGGGTGCCCGCCGAAGTGCTCAACTTACAGGGAACACTGGTTAGAGGCCTCGCTCCTGCTAAAGTCGATGGAATTCCTGTGACTCACCTCAGATCTAGCAATAAACTGGCTGACAGCGAACCGAGTGGGGCTGGTGAGCAAGCTGCGTGTGGCCGCAGGGCACAGGGAGAGAGAAGGAAAGTGCATCTGTCCCTGAGTGCCCTTACAGAGCTGACAATAGAGGGCAACGTGGGCTTGCGATTTGAATAAGGGTGGAGAGGGGCTTGGTACAAACAAGAAACCGGCCCCCAGGCTGGCTGGGGAGGGGCTGCCTGTTGTCAGGGCTGCTACAGGTCAGACGTAGAAATAAGAGCACTAATCACGTAGTGTCTCCCAGTGATGGAGTGGGGGTTGGGTTCGCTCTGTTTGCTTTGTTACTTTGTGTGTGATTCCTACTGTCCCGTGCTGTTCTGCAGTAACTCTGTGTGTGTGTGTAAGAGAGAGAGAGAGAGAGAGAGAGAGAGACTCAGTTTCTCTGTTTACTGCACTGCACTGGCGCCCGGCTGGGGATGGGAGCTTTGGGCATGACTCTCACCGAAGGAGGATGCCCCTCGTGGCTCACCCCAGCACGTACACAATGGCTCAGGCTGTCTTGTAAGTGCAGCCTAGGTGGGGGGTGCAACCGGGTGACACCTTTTGCCTGGGAAGTTGGATGAAGGAGGAGGCGGGGCTGCCTGCAGGGCTGGGATTGGTTGCTGAGGGTGTGAGCTACACTGGACTGCCTGAGGTTGCAGGAGTTCTGTCAACAGAAGGCGTTATTGCATCTACACTGTCCTTTGCGTCTACACTGTCATGTCGACAAAGTGGCTTGCTTTGTCAACAGAACTAGATGTAATCTAGATGCTCTTCGTCGACAGAAGCTTTGTCGACAGTATTTGTCGACAAAACTTCTGTCTACAAAACCCTGTAGTCTAGACATACCCTTAGGGTGCTGGCTCTCGGACCCTCTCTCCCAGGGCCAGCCCACAACATTTTGGCATCTGAGGCGGGGAGCTCTAAGGACGCCCTCTCTGCCCCCTCACTTGGGCCAAAACTTTGCAAGGTCTCAATTTGCCGTCTGCCTGCTCTACTCCTCCCATGGCACTGCTCTGCTACCTACACACGCACCAGCAAGAGACACAATTTCCTACACTCTGGGTCCAAGTTGCGCCCTCCCCAATCTGGCACCTGAGGCGGCCACCTTAGTTCACCTGATGGTGAGGTCAGCCCTGCTCTCTCCCCAGGTTGCATTGTGCTGACGGCTCCTGGTTCCTGTGTTAATAACAAGTCTGTGCTACGCTGTGTCCCAGGGAACCAACAAACCTTCTGTTTTACCTGCCGCCTGAGAGTCTCCCCTGGCTGTGGGTGGGGTGCAGGGCCCGGTGGCTCCCTCCCCCCCACTCCGTGACACTCCCCAGCCCATTTCGTACAAGGGCCTTATCGGAAAGGCCAGACTGACGCTGCTGCAAACCAAAGCGGCATCTGGCCCGGAGGGTTGAACTCGTCACTTTCCTATTGCCCAGGGAGCCGAGCTGGAGGCCCAGAGCGGGCGACAAACGTGACGCACACATCACTGGCGGGGCTGCGTCGGGTTTTAATGCGGGACACAGGGACAGTTAGGATGTAAACAGGCAGCGGGGGTAGCCCCAGGCACTGGGAGAGCTGCAGCCGTGGGGGATGGGCAGGCGTTGACCTTTAACTGCACCAA